GCTACTCCCCAGCTCTCTGGGCACCCCGGGAGCCCTCTGGGGTCTGGAGCCTGTTCCTCAGACTGGTCATTCCCTACAAGCTGAGCAATCAGCTGCTCCTGAGTGAGCCTCCCAATGCTCAGCCCTCTCTCCCTGCAGAGACATGCCAGGTCCCTCTTATGGAGCTGGTTCTAGGCCATTTCCACGCTGGTTCCTTTCAATTCCCTCATTTTATCGCTGGCAGCCACTCCCTGCAAAGCGCCTGTGCTCGCAGACAACCGTCTACCGTGTGCATCCGCCAACCATCCTCTGCTACCACCTTCTCACGGACTCCCAGGTCTTGCCCACTCTTGGCCGTGCGGTCCCTGGGGGGGAACCCCCTTCAGTGTGACAGCCCTTCTCGGGGGTCCACTCTCCCTCGGAGTTAAGCCCCTCCGCCTCCTCGAACTGCACCTCTCTGAGCCTTAGCACACCTGTCTCTCACTGTAGGCTCCCTCAAGGAGTCCATTCACATTCGACCCCTGGGGTCTCCACTCCCAGAGGGAATAATGCCACCCTGTTCTCTAGACTGAAGTGACTCTCAGCCTGCTTAAAATAGGAGGGTTTATTGACAGGTTTCAGAGTAGCAGCCATGTTAGTCTGTATTCGCAAAAAGAAAAGGAGTACTTGTGGCACCTTAGAGACTAAACAATTTATTTGAGCATAAGCTTTCGTGAGCTACAGCTCACTTCATCGGATGTCTGTACTCTGCACAGGAAACTCTCCAGGCCTCAGGCATGGCCTCCATCAGCACAGCACATCCCAGTCTCCCCTGCATCCAGGTGGGCTCTGTCTGCTCTCTCTCTCCAGTCCTGAGCCCCCCTCCTTCCCAACTGGGCATCTGATCTCACTGACCCCAAGCCCCTGCTCTGTCCATTGTCTTCTCTCCAGGTAAACAGGGTCGTCTGGGCCTCCTCTCCTCTCTTCCATCCTCTGGCTGGAACCAGCTGGTCAGGTCACTGGGGTCCTCTCTTCAGAGCCCATTGTCCTCCCACTGGCCAGAACCAGCTGTGACGCCCGAGCTGGGCCTCCCGGTCACCAGGTCTCCAGTCACTGGGGTCTCCATTCGCCAGGCCATTGGCTGCAGTCCCAAGCTCTGTCGCTGGTCCCCTGTAACAACAAACTCCCTCTCCCATCACCTCATTAAACCAGTAACACCCAGGGAAACTGAGTCCCACCCCCTCTGCATGCAAACCATTGGAAAAACCAAGGAAAAACCAGGAAACCCCCCCCCACACACACCTTGTCACAGATGGTGACAGCTCCCCCCGGGGCGATCACCCCGCTGGGGCTGACAGAAATGGAGGGTCCGGGCGCAGGGAGCTCTGCGCTCACACACAAACAGGAGTGAGATGGGGAGACACAAACCCCTCCCCATGTGTCTGTAACCTGCCCTTAGCTGCCAGCCCCAGGGACAGCGCCAGGGCTAACAGACACCTCACTGCATCCACAGACTGGTACTCCTGGGGCAATTCTGCGCATCTACAGATGTGCTAGGGTTGCCAATTTTGGTTGGCTGTGTTCCTGGAGTTTTCATCACATGACATAATCTTTAATGAAAGATTAATCTATAATTCTGGGAAACTACAGGCCAAGCCTGGAGGTCTGGCGACCCTAGGACGCGCAGGATTCATCCATCCTGCATCATTTTGGGATAGCTCAGTGGTTTGAGCATTGGCCTGCTAAACCCAGGGTTGTGAGTTCAATCCTTGAGGGGGGCATTTAGGGATCTGGGGCAAAAATTGGGGATTGGTCCTGCTTTCAGCAGGGGGTTGAACTAGATGATCTCTGGAGGTCCCTTCCAACCCTGATATTCTATGATTTTGTTTTTTCCCCCACATAAAATACAGTCTGCCCCAGACGTGCTGCAGTTCCGCCCTTTGCCCACCAGAGGCCACTGTGGCACCACAACGACCAGAAGCATGAACACAGCCCGCTGTTCTGGCGCCACAGCGGCCCCTGGTGGGCAGAGGCGGAACTGCAGCACTTCTGGGGCAGAATGTATTTTCTGTGCGGAAAAATATTCTCTGCCTGCCCGGGGCTGCAGACCCCCCAGGAGGAGAAGTTCATCACAGCACCTGCCCGCAGAGCCAGGTTAGGGCAGAGAGGGGCACCCAGGGCTGCTGGGGGGGGTCACAGACTGGGGCTCAGGAGCTAGTGCGGTGACAGCGTTGAGTCTGGGGATGGGGGAGGGGGCTGCAGGGACACATGGGGACGGGGGTTGCGGGGACAGGGGCTGAGGTGCCTGACTGAATGGGAAAGGCTTGAGGCCAGCCAGGGTCCACATGTGGGAGGCTTCCCAGATCCCTAATAATCCTCTCCTGCCAAAAAATCCCAAACCTTCTCCCACCCACACCCAACACCTTCCAGGTTCACTCCTAGGCTCCTTTCCTCTCCCTCAGCTCCTCCATTACCCCTGACTCCCCCAAGCCTTTGCACGGCTTCTGACAGGTGCAGGAAATACAGTTCTGTCATGTGATTTAAATGAATTACTCAAAGTTCTGTGTTAATATACGGAGACGGGTTCGGTCACAGAAACCCCCTTGGGACTGTCTGTCACCTGACGTGCTGAAATTACCTCTGAGCCCGTTTTCCCTGCCAGCTTGGGACTCCAGAACCCTGCCTTGTTGAGCCAGACACGCTATGTCTGCTGCAAACACAGACCCAGCTCTGGTCCACGCCCCCCCAGCTGCAGACTTTAACCAAAAACTGCTCAGCAGGTCACCTATCTCCAGCACCCAGACACCCAGCTCCCAATGGGATCCAAACCCCAAATAAATCCATTTTACTCTGTATAAAACTTATACAGGGTAAACTCATAAATTGCCCACCATCTATAACACTGATAGAGAGCTATGCACAGCTGATTGCTCCCCCAGGTATTAATCACTTACTCTGGGCTCATTAATAAACAAAAGTAATTTTATTAAGTATAAAATGTAGGATTGAAGTGCTTTCAAGTAATAACAGACAGAACAAAGTAAGTTACCAAGCAAAATGGGGAAGAGATGGCCAGCCCTCTGTGGAGATAGAGGTGGTTAGGGACTATTTAGAAAAGCTGGACGTGCACAAGTCCATGGGGCCGGACGAGTTGCATCCGAAAGTGCTGAAGGAATTGGCGGCTGTGATTGCAGAGCCATTGGCCATTATCTTTGAAAACTCGTGGCGAACGGGGGAAGTCCCGGATGACTGGAAAAAGGCTAATGTAGTGCCAATCTTTAAAAAAGGGAAGAAGGAGGATCCTGGGAACTACAGGCCAGTCAGCCTCACTTCAGTCCCTGGAAAAATCATGGAGCAGGTCCTCAAAGAATCAATCCTGAAGCACTTGCATGAGAGGAAAGTGATCAGGAACAGCCAGCTTGGATTCACCAAGGGAAGGTCATGCCTGACTAATCTAATCGCCTTTTATGATGAGATTACTGGTTCTGTGGATGAAGGGAAAGCAGTGGATGTATTGTTTCTTGACTTTAGCAAAGCTTTTGACACGGTCTCCCACAGTATTCTTGTCAGCAAGTTAAGGAAGTATGGGCTGGAAGAATGCACTATAAGGTGGGTAGAAAGCTGGCTAGATTGTCGGGCTCAACGGGTAGTTATCAATGGTTCCATGTCTAGTTGGCAGCCGGTATCAAGTGGAGTGCCCCAAGGGTCGGTCCTGGGGCCGGTTTTGTTCAATATCTTCATAAATGATCTGGAGGATGGTGTGGATTGCACTCTCAGCAAATTTGCGGATGATACTAAACTGGGAGGAGTGGTAGATACACTGGAGGGGAGGGATAGGATACAGAAGGACCTAGACAAATTGGAGGATTGGGCCAAAAGAAATCTGATGAGGTTCAATAAGGATAAGTGCAGGGTCCTGCACTTAGGACGGAAGAACCCAATGCACAGCTACAGACTAGGGACCGAATGGCTAGGCAGCAGTTCTGCGGAAAAGGACCTAGGGGTGACAGTGGACGAGAAGCTGGATATGAGTCAGCAGTGTGCCCTTGTTGCCAAGAAGGCCAATGGCATTTTGGGATGTATAGGTAGGGGCATAGCGAGCAGATCGAGGGACGTGATCGTTCCCCTCTATTCGACATTGGTGAGGCCTCATCTGGAGTACTGTGTCCAGTTTTGGGCCCCACACTTCAAGAAGGATGTGGATAAATTGGAGAGAGTCCAGCGAAGGGCAACAAAAATGATGAGGGGACTGGAACACATGAGTTATGAGGAGAGGCTGAGGGAGCTGGGATTGTTTAGTCTGCAGAAGAGAGGAATGAGGGGGGATTTGATAGCTGCTTTCAACTACCTGAAAGGGGGTTCCAAAGAGGATGGCTCTAGACTGTTCTCAATGGTAGCAGATGACAGAACGAGGAGTAATGGTCTCAAGCTGCAGTGGGGGAGGTTTAGATTGGATATTAGGAAAAACTTTTTCACTAAGAGGGTGGTGAAACACTGGAATGCGTTACCTAGGGAGGTGGTAGAATCTCCTTCCTTAGAGGTTTTTAAGGTCAGGCTTGACAAAGCCCTGGCTGGGATGATTTAACTGGGATTTGGTCCTGCTTCGAGCAGGGGGTTGGACTAGATGACCTTCTGGGGTCCCTTCCAACCCTTATATTCTATGATTCTATGATTCTATGAAAATAAAACAAAACACTCAAGTCAAAGCCTAATTCATTAAGAAACTGATTACAGGTAAATCTCACCCTCATAGATGTTCCAATAAGCTTCTTTCACAGACTCGACTCCTTCCTAGTCTGGGCCCAATCCTTTCCCCTGCTACAGTCCTTGTTATTTCCAGCTCACGTGGTAACTAGGGGATTTCCCATGACTGCAGCCCCTTTTGTTCTGTTCCACACTCTTTTATATCTTTGGCCCAAGGCAGGAATCTTTTGTCTCCCTGGTCCCCACCCCTCCTTCTAAAGGGAAAACCACCAGGTTTAAGATGGATTCCAGTACCAGGGGATATGGTCACATGTCCTGTGAGACCCCAAGCCTCCATTCTTCCTGGCCTGACTCAGGAGAAGGCAGGAAGGCTTGCAAGTAAACAGAGCCATTTACAACCAATTGTCCTAAGTTAATGGGAGCCATCAAGATTCTAAACCACCATTAACAGCCCACACTTTGCATAATTACAACAGGATTTCGGAGTTATACTTCATATTTCTAGTTTGAGATACAAGAATGATACATATGTACAAATCGGATGACCACACTCAGTAGATTATAAGTTTTGTAATGATACCTTACAAGAGACCTTTTTCATGAAGCATATTCCAGTTACATCATATTCACACTTATGAGCATATTTCCACATAAAACATGGAGTGCAATGTCACAGACCCAGCAAGGGGAAGCGCACGGTGGGAACAGGGATGCTGAATGCTCCGAGGTCAGACCAGGAAGGCCGTAGCCGAGGAAGCTTTTTGCCCTGGACAGCGTGCCCTGAGGGGAGTCGCGCCACCCCAGAGTCCTGGCTGGCTGCATAAAGAGCAGTTCCAGAACATCGGACCTGTGACTCTGTCACAACTGGTGGCAGCGGTGTGATCAACTGCAGCCTTGGATGGAGCATCCTGCAGTAGGTTACTGGGTAGTGGTAGAACGAAGGGGGGTTGGCCACACCCTACCCCAGAGGGGTCCTCTCTGCCTCCCGGTGCTGAGCCCCCCCAGCCCCCCACACGTGGGGCTGGGTGGGGCAGCACCCCCTGGAGGGAGGGCTACGGGGGTGGGGGCTATAAGCTGAGCCCAGTCTCTGGGGGGAGGGAATCACTCTGTCACCCTCTGGTGGCCAACGCTCCCTGCCCCGTCGCGGCGATGACTCCCCCTGGGTTCATACTATGGGGGTGGGGGGGCGCCCCTGCACCCTGGGGGCTCTGTCTGTGGGCTCCCTGGCTCACATTGACGGCAGCGTACAGGACGGGCTCGGGGGCAGGGGCCGGGCCCCCTCGTTTGGCCTGCAGTCCCTGGTGGTCCAGCTCGGCGTAGGTGAGTCCCTCGGCTTCAGGGTCGGGCTCCTGGGGCTGGGAGGGGAGAGAGACATACCTGTGTGTGCGTGTGTGTGCCAACACCGACCCACACACACCAGATAGTTCTGACCCCAGTCACCAGGGGGCAGCAATGTCCCCCACAGCCCCCTTTCCCCCTAGGAACAGATGCTCTGACACGCTCTCTCCTGTCCAGCAGGGGGCTCCCGAGAGCTGCTCTTCCTCCACAGCCCCACCAGGGAATCCAGCAACACCATCCACCCACCCACTCCAGCCCACAGGGCCCCATGGGGCAAAGATCCGGGAAATTCCCCCCACACACACCCGGCACCTGCCCCCCATGGAATTCCACTGACCCTCTGCAAACCTCAGACAAATGCAAACGTTTGAAGGATGGTTTGAGGGGGTCAAGGTGAGTTTGGGGGGGTGCAGGGTCAGGCTCTTATTCTCTGTGTTCTGGATCCCCCGCCCCTCTTTGGGGGAGCCCTGTTGCTGATCCCCAGCTCCGGTGTCTGCCCTGAGGGGGTACAGGGGGGCCAGGTAGAGTCTTGGGGGCTGGTGTCAGAACATGGCTCTGGTGGGTCCTGTGCAGGGCTGGATGGCAGGGGGGTGAGGGAGACTGGATGGTGCATTGGTGCTGGGGTGGGGGTCAAGGAGTGGGGGGCACTTACCAGGACATCCAGCTGCTTCCCTTCGCCCACGAGGGCGTCTGTGGAATAGAGACACACCCCGGGTGAGGGGCTGGGTCCAGATCAGAGCCCTGGGCCCAGCCCCCATCTGAGGCCTTCGCAGACTGGCACTGGGGTGGGGCAGGGTCACTAGCTTCATGGTGCAGAGCGGTAAACTGAGGCACAGAGCGGGGCAAGGGTGCCCCCAAAGACACTCAGTGAGTCAGTGCTGCACCCCACATCAGCATGCCACCCCCAAAGGACACAGTTCCTGCCTGGGGACACCCACCCCTCCCCCCTGCTCCATGACTGCCCCCTCATGTGTGACTTACAGACTGTGGCTGCAGCTTCGGACTCCCTATGGGGAGAAAGAGAGAGAAAGATAGTAACAGAACCCAGGAGTCCTGGCTCTTAGCCCCCCCGTGTTGTAACCACTAGACACCACTCCCCATCCCGAGCCAGGGAGAGAACGCAGGAGTCCTGGCTCCTAGCCCCCCCCGTGTTGTAACCACTAGACACTACTCCCCATCCTGAGCCAGGGAGAGAACCCAGGAGTCCTGCGTTCTGGGGCAGGTAGATTGGGGGTGGGGAGCGGAGCTGGGGTCTCACCTGCTCTGTCTTGGGTCTGGTCCTTTCCCTGCAGAGACACGAAGCAGAATTGTCCGTGATTCAACCCTGATCCCCATGTACCAGCCCTATAGAGCAGCCGGGACAGAATCCCCCCCACTGCTCTGCCAGGGGGAGCCCCACCCCTTCCAGCTGCTGAACCTGGATACCCTAGAGACAGGTCCCTGCCCCCTGCAGCACAGCACCCCCTAGTGCCCCCATTGCCCTTCTTACTGCAGCACAGCGCCCCCTAGTGCTGCCCAGGGGCTTTGGGGCCAGCTCTCTCTGCCAAGGGAGAGCGCCCCCTGCTGGGCCCCTGCCCCACCCCCTGGGTTTCCTTCCCTGTCTCCCATCCAAGCCGTGACCCCTTCCGAGCCCGGCTTAGCGGCGGGTTTCACCCTTCCCTCGCTGGGCGGGGCACTCACTTCCTCGGGTGCTTCTGTAGCAGAGGAAGGCCAGGAGGAGAAGGAGGAGGCCGGCGGCCGCCGCGCTCACCCCGGCCATGATGGAGCGGGTCAGATCCGGTGCGCTTGGTTCCGATCCACCTGGGAAGCAGCACCAGGCCGTGAGCGCCATGAGAGGCTGGTTCTTTACCTGCTGCCCCAGGCCCTCCCCCTCTAGGACCCAGGGACCCACAGAAGAACATGCTTTGGGGCTAGTGGGAGGGCAGGTGCAGAGGGATCTGGGTAATAGTGGTCAGGGGGTTCCCTCCCAAAGGCAGAGGGCTGTACTGGGGTGGGGGCAGGGTGTGTGTGGGGGGGTCTACCTCAGGCCCCATGCTTGTGAAGCCAGCTGGGCCCGGATCCTGCAGCACCCGCCCCCCTGCCCTCGGGTCCTGCCCCTGTCCTGGGAATTTCTCAGCAGCTTCAGCTCACTTCTGCGCAGAAACCATAGGGGTGGGCGGATGGCAGTGGGAGGGGACTTCTGGCTGGGGAGGGCACTTTGAGATCATTGGGAGAACCATGCCCTGGTGAAGTGATCAGCAGCCGAAGAGGTAATGGTGCTGTCATTGTGACAGCCATCATTAGGTTCCAGAATCAACGATGTGTCACTCTGAATTGGTGGGTTCAAGTGTTAACACAATGTCTATCTGGATTGATAGGTTCCAGGGTTAATGCCCCACTGGGCAGCACCCCACCGAAGGCGGAGCTCTGCTTCTGAGCCATTCCCCTGGGCAGTCTGCAGACTCAGGCCGACAGACGGGATACAAGGGATCATTATCCCTGGGTCTCCTTCCTTGGCCCTGTTCTCCCAGTGGGATATGCACTGAGCGGTGCCCTACAGGGGTGGTTTTGTTGTGCCGATGGGCAGCACGACATCCCGGTCTGTGGGGCCCCAGGGTGGGACTGTGCATTGGGGAGAAGCTCTCCCGGGCCCTGCCCCTGCCAAGCCAATCTGGCATCTATCCAATGACACCCCCCCACATAAGAAATGTGTCCCATGGGAGGTTTCAGATGGGGCATTCGCTGTAGGGATCTACCCCCATCCCACCCAGCCAGCCCTTTGTGGCTCCCCCCGGGGGCGGCTCCTTAGGGTACACAAAGCTGTTTCGTGGGGGGGTTGATGGTCATTTTCTGCCCCCAACTTGGCCCCGTGCTGCCTGGGCAGGTGGGAGCTGGCACCGTTCCCAGCTGAGTCGGGTCGGTTCCCCCTGCAGGAATAGAACCAGCGTCTGTCAGGGGCAGGGCAATGTGGGGGGTGGCCGGTTCAGCACCCCTGGGGATCCCAGAATGGGGAAGATCAGCCCAGCAAGACCCTGAGCGCAGATATAGGCCCTGCCTGGCTCCACGGAAACTGGAACCAAAATCATTACTGACTTGTATTAATTACCAGGAGCCCCTGTCATGGGCCAGCTCCCCCGTGTGCTCGGAGCTGTTCGGACACACCACACAGAGACGGTCCTTGCCCAAGTCAGGTGCCATTCATACCTGGAGTCACTGCAGAGCAGGTCTGGGTTTGGCTGTGCCTATTTCAGAGGAGGAATGTCCCTGTATCTACAGAGCTAAAGGGGATCTTCCCTGCCCAACAGGGCTGTATCGAACCAGGGGGCGCGAATTCCAACAGCCCAGACTCGCTCTGAGATCATTAGTGGGGGTTGGGAACCACAGGGGATTCGTCATTTTGGGTCCCGTTTTCATGTAGACAAGGTCTTAGTCCATCTTTCTATCCCTCACCAGACGTGCTCCCATCTCTCCATTACCCTAAGTTCCCAAGGACCCATATTCTCACTGATCTGTGGCCGGCTGTCCCCATGAATGTGTCCATCACCCTCTGTATAGAAGAACTGAACCCATCAGTTCTGTCTGCAGGGACCATCCCCCTCCAAACGGCCAAAATGGCCCTGTGGGTGTCTGAGCGGGGAGCCCTCTTCCCTGGGGGATGAATTGTTCCATTTCTCCGGCTCACCTTCTCCCGCCGGCTCCGTCATGGGGGGATCAGGCTGCTGGGTCCCAGCTGGGTTGGTTCCCTCTGTGGGATGAAAAAGAGCATCGGCTGGGACGCGGAAGGGAGGGAATCGAGCACCCAGCCATCAGCCCTGAAACTCCAGCAGCTGCTGCTGTCCCCTGGCTGGGGAACCCCCCCCAGTGACTCCGTCCCCACTCTGTGCCCCCATCTGGGCATCTCCTCTGCTGGGCCCAGGGCTCAGGTCAGAGCCTGGCTCTGAGTGTCCCATTGGGGCCAAGACCCCCTGAGGGCCCAGCTGGGTGTGGGGCTGGGAGCAGGAAAACTGAGCTGGGCCCCTTACCTGCTACCACCAGCTCCACGGGGTCGCTGGGCTCCGACCAGACGGGCGGGCCCCACTTGGTGCTATATTGGCAGCTGTAGCTCCCTGCATCTCTCCGGCTCACATTGTGGATGGGAAATTCAACCAAGTCCCCCGCGGAATCTGTCGCGCGCTGTGCGTCCGGGTCTCCAGATTTATTCAGAAAGACCCTCGCTCCCCGACACCGACACTCACACCGGACGGTCACAGCTCCCCCCAGGGTAACCCCCTCACTGGGGTGCAGGGAGATGTTGGGTTTGGGGTAGCTGGGCTCTGCAGGCAGGAGGAGACAGGCCGTGAGACACAGACCCCGGCACGGTCACTGCACCCCGTCCCCACAGCCCGGCCCCAGTGACGAGGGAGAGAGTCTCCTGGATGTTTTTCCCCCAAATCCAAGACCGAGAGAGCTGGGCTAGTGACACAAGAGCCCCGGGGGCCCCCACCCCTCAGCAGGGCAAGGGCGCGGCTCCATCTGCCAGGAGCCCATGGAGGGGTGGCTGGGGCAGGGCAAGGAGGGGCCGAGGCGACCTAGAGGCCAATTGCGTTTTATCTCCATCAGCTGGGGAAGGAGAAATCAGTTCAGTGGGGAATGATCACAAATCATAGAATCATAGAATATCAGGATTGGAAGGGACCTCAGGAGGTCATCTAGTCCAACCCCCTGCTCAAAGCAGGACCAATCCTCAATTTATGCCACGAATCCCTAAATGGCCCCCTCAAGGATTGAACTCACAACCCTGGGTTTAGCAGGCCAATGCTCAAACCACTGAGCTAGCCCTCCCTCCAAATGAGTCAGAGTTCGCTGTGTCGGGTCCCACTGGGAACGATTGCTGAGCTCGCTTAAACAGGAGCCACCATTGGCTGACTTCAACCCACGTTATGGGCGACAATTTCCATTCGTGGAGCAGCAGGATCTGGAGTTGGAACGTCCGAGGCACGAGGCCAGAACCCCCGCGCTACGTTTCCTTCCTGTCGCTGCACCTGAAGGTGCTGGGCGGACGTTTTGTCCGTACTATTGGCTTTACTTTCGCTACAGCTCACTTCCTCCTCTTTTCTTCAGCCCGTTTCTCTTTGCTCGCAGCTCATTTCCATGACGTTTCATTCGTGCCTGACTTCTCTTGCGGTTTTCTAACTATTGCTTAGGTAACGTAGAGACTCGTTTCTTCGTGTTTCACGACCGGGTTCTTCCTTTAACTTTCCCCCTCCTGCCTCTGTCTTTCCTCTGTCTGCCTCCCGCTGTTCCTGCCATCTCTGCCCCTGCTCAACGGGACTCTCTCCCTGCCAGCTCTCTGCCGGGCGCCCTTCGACGACACAGCTCGGCCACCGGGCCCCTTTCCACTGGCTCCCCGCTCGCTGGGTCCCTTCATTTCTGGTGCCGGTTGCTCCCGCGCTGGCTGCTGGTGTCTCTCTCCGGCGCTGGGCAGCCTCCCTCCAAACTCTACCAGCCCTTTCCCCCAGGAGCGCTGGGGGCGGGGGGAGGAGCCGCTGTCCCCCACTGTTTTCTTTCTCTCCCCACCACAGAAAAATCCCGCCCCAGGCTCGAGCTGCCCCCACCTCCGCTGCTGCCCGGGAATCCTTGGGGGTCTCCCCACAGCAGCTGTTTCCAGGCCGCTTCTGAGCAGCCACCGTGTGCAGCTCCCACTGTGCTTTAACCCGACAGCCCCCAGCCCAGGTGGGCATCACCCAGCCAGCCCTGGAACACAGTCACAGGCTGGGGCGGGGCAGCCCCTGGGCCCCGACTCCTCTGTGCGCCCCCGGGGCGGGAGCAGCCGGGGGAGCCTCCCCCTGGGAAAAGCCCCTGCTCTGCAGCTCCCCCTGGGGCAGGGATCCCCCCTCCCTCGGCCTTGAACCTCCAGCAGCTGCTGCTGCCCCTTGCTGGGGAACCCACCAGTGGTTCCGTCCCTGCCCCTGACCCAGGCGTCCCCTCTGCTGGGCCCAGGGCTCAGGGCAGAGCCTGGCTCTGAGCGTCCCATTGGCGCAGAGACCCCCTGGTCAGGGGCACGCACAGGAATAAAAATGTGGCTGCTTTTGGAGGGGCACTTTGTGTGCCCCCTGCAGCCAGAGGAGCTGGTTCTGCTCCCCCAAGGAGTTCTGTGCTCTGGCCCCACTGATTCGGGGGGGCCCTGTGCCTGCTTCCCCCCTTGCACATGCCCCTGCCCCGAGGGTCTGGCTGGGTGTGCGGCTGGGAGCGGGGTCACTGAGCCGGGCCCCTCACCTGCTACCACCAGCTCCACGGGGTCGCTGGGCTGCGACCACATGAACGGGTACCCTTTGTGTTGATAATAGCAGCTGTAGCTCCCTGCATCTCTCCGGCTCACATTGCGAATGGAAAACTCGGCCAGATTCCCAGCCGGTTCCATGTCCTGCCGCGTGTTCGGCTTTCCATCTTTGAACAGAAGGAACCTCAAGTTCTGGAATGGAGCCCAACACTGGATGGTCACGGCTCCCCCCAGGGTGACCCCCCCGTTGGGACTCAGGGAGATGGAAGGTTTGGAGTAGCTGAGCTCTGCAATGACAAAGAGAAAGGCCGTGAGACAGACCCCGGCACAGTCACTGCGCCCCGTCCTTGCTCCACAGTCCCAGAGATGGGGCCCCTGGGGGAAAACCCAGCCAGAGGAACCTCTCGAGATCCCAGAGATTCCTGGGATCTGCAACTGAAACTGCCCGAGGACCTAAATCTAGAGCAAACCTCTGTACCCCTCTATCTATTTAATGGGGCCCTGCAGCCTGGGAGCCAGGACTCCAGGGAGGAGCCTGCCGGCCAGGCTGTAGGTGAGTTGAGCAAGCCGACCAGGGGCTGGTTCTCCCCATAGCGCTGGGTTGGGCTGCACCCCGCCGGGGGGATATGGAGGAGCAGCGGGGCAGGGGCGGGGGGGGTGAAGGGGCAAAGCAGGGAGAGGACAGCGAGAGCGGGAGCACGTCGAGGTCTGATGGGTGGGCAGCAGAGGTAACACGTAACCGGCCTCAGCGGGGCACTTGCCCACCCCCACCAGCCACCGCAGCTCGCGCCGGGCGGAAACAGGACAGGGGGGCAGGGCCCTGCTGATCGAGAGCCGTCACGCCGTGGGGGCTGCGCTGATGGACCGGCAGGGGAGCGGCCGGCCCCACACGCTCCATCTTCAGCCTGCCACCAGCCTTGCACACCCACCCCATCATCGGCCACTGGACCTGCCACTCACCCTTGGTGGGCAGGCGGCTGGCGAGCAGGGATCTGGCCAATACTGATGTGGGGGGGAGACAGAAAATACGGGATGATTTGCCTGTTTTTAAGAAAAACTTGGGACACCTGCAGGAGGGTTAAATACAGGACTGTCCCTTTAAAAACGGGAGGTCTGGTCACCCTAACCCCCCCCCCTCCCGGTCAATCAGGGGTCACCCCTGACTACAGTGGGGGCAGGTTCTGATCTCAGCCCCCTGGGATAAACACAAGGAGGTTGAACTGATTTTGGGGGTGAAGGTTCAGGGCTCAGCTCCTCTTTTCCTCTCCCCCTTCCCCTCCCCGTCCTGAACACTAAAGTTTCCCCTGCCCCACAGATACTCACGACCGAACACCTTGCTCTGCCTGGCCAGCCAGCAGCCTGGAAAGGAGAGGGCCCGTTAGGGACCAGAAGCCAGAGTGACTCAGTTCCCCTCGCCCAATGGGCACAAGCCCTGGTCTCAGATTCCCCCCACCATGGGCACATGCCCTGGTCTCAGACTTGCGCTCCCCACTCCCTTCGGACACATGCCCTGGTCTCAGATACCCCCCAGCAACCCACATGGATACACGCCCTGGTTATCTCTGGTACTCACAGAGGTAGAGGATGATGGGAGCAGATGCCATGATGGGGTAGCAAGGGGCCCCTCAGCCCTGTCTCCAACACCCCAGTGCCCAGTTCCACCAAGCCCCAATAAGAAACTCGGCTGGTGGCTCCAGCTACAGGAAGTTGACGATGTCTCGTCTCTTCCTGCGTCCATCACACGTTGTCTCTAATCTGCACGTGAAATCTACTGCGGTCAAAGTAAGCAGGGGGCTTTGCAAAACCCAGGAAACCCAGCCTGGCCAAGCATCATGCAGCTCCCAGCTTGTCTCTGTCTCTGTGGGGAGTGGGGACAGGTCACCCTCAACGCACCCTGCAGCCTTGGGGAAGGTGCACCAGGCTGGGAGCCAGGAGAGCACAGGCTCTGGTCTTCAATCTGCCACTGACCACGATTGCCATGAAAATTCCATCCCCTTTTCATTCTGGGTTCAAGCCCAGCTGGTGACCCATGTAGGTAAAGTTTCTCCATCCCTTGGCAATAAAACATCGTATTGTTTTCACAGCCACGGTCCGTCTCCCGGTTTCTGCACCCGGCCCTGTTGGCAGGGCCTTGCACCCCCAGTGCAGCCCCTTTCCCAGCTCACATCGCTGCGGGAAAGCGAGGAAGAGGGCCTGGGATGGACCAACTCTGAGCATCTGCCCCCCAGCTCCACGCCATCTCAAGCAAGTGAGTGGCATGTAGCATATCCCTGTTCTGCCTGGGGAGGAGCTGAAATGGGGGAATCTCCTCCCGAGGAGACTAGATTTGCTAACACAGCCCCCTGCAGCCCTTCGCTCTGGGCCAGGGCAGCGCGTTTCCTGCCGGGTTTTCTCCAGAGCCATCTCCAGTGTGGGGGAAATGTCCCAGCCATGGGGCTCCCAGCCTCCCCTTGTAGGAGACTGTTTCCAGGGCTGAGTCTCTGGGGGAGCCAGACCCTGCCAGATGCTGAACACCCAGAAACCCCAGTCATTGAAATCGATGAGAACTGGGGGGACTCGTGATTGGGACCTTGGGAACTTTAGCTGGGGGTTCCCAGGACAAGCTCAGACTCCTTCCCGGGTTCTGTTCTTTCTCTAGCCTGGCAGGGAGTGTGGCCTGGGGCGGACGGGGGAGCTGCTGGTCCAAACCCACTGCAAACCCCACTGCTCTGAAAGGATGAGACTCCCCCGGTGTCCCAGTGCTTCAGTGTTGATGGGAACGTTGGGAGCAGCCTGTCCTGGGAGCTTCTGCCCGTGGGGTAGATTGCAGTCCCTGTGCCCCAGGGTGGGGCGTGCGGTGAGGGGGAGTTGCCCCAGCGGAGGGGAGATCGGGGGAGCAGGGAGGCCTGTTAGTGAGAGGCTGCCTTGACCCCAGACTCATGGCTGCTCCCCGCTGAGTCCCAGAATGGAGAAGCTCAGGCAGATGCTGCAGACGGAGGCCGTGAAGGTGGCTCCAGGGCCCGTGGGAAGCCGCTGCCGGCTGCCCCAGGAGGAGAGCGGCCCCTCTGTCCCCGCTCGGGGGGACGCAGGCTCTGGCCTGGCCAAGAGGTGGAAGTGCCTGGTGGTCTGCAGGAGGAGACACCAGCTCCCAGAGCAGGCCCTGAGGCACCTTCTGGGCCAGCATGGAGGTGGCCCGGGGGCAGGTGTGCGGGAGGGACCCAGGACAGGGCAGGAGCCGGGCATGGCGGCTCTGGGGCGTCCTCTCCAGGAAGCAGAGGAGCCAGGAGCCCAGCCCCAGGGCCCACCAGGGGCCGTCCCCCTGCCTGGCCACTGGAGAGCCCCCAGCCTGCCCTGAGCAGGAGATGGGCGGCCCCGGCTGCAGCACCAGCAGGAGCTCCCGAGGGGCCAGCAGCAGCCCCACCGTGGAGCGTGAGCGCGCGGAGGCTGAAGGCTCCCCCATGGCAGGTGAGGGGAGACCCCGGGGAAGGGAGGAGGACGGGGGGGCTAGTAACACCCAGCGCGTGTTGGGTCACCAAGGCCGGAGCCACGGGAGCCCCACTGACACTCATAGATGCTTGCGGCGTCCAGCGGGCGTAGCTGGGCACTGCAAGACGGAGGTTCCTCTGGGCGTGTCTGGGGCCGGAGATATCGGCTGGCGTCCTTCGGTTGCACAGTCCAGGCAGCGGCTGCCCAAAGTGCTCGCTCCCGTGGCTGGGAGCAGCTCACACGCCAGGGGCTGTGTGGGAACAGCCCGGGAGTGGGGGTCTCACAGCGGGGCAGGGTGAGGCTGGGTCCCGGAGCCGAGGACTGGAGTGACCGAGCAGATCACCAGTCCGGACAACACCAGGGGAACGTCACAGGCTGGTTTGTGGTTCTGTGTTTATTACAAATCTGGAGATTAACGGGATGCAAAATAACACAAGCAGCCGCATCGGCATGTCCCCTCCCCCCTCTCAGTTCTGAGACCCCCTGGTCCCGCATCTGTGAGGTTGAGAGACTCCCACAGCCACCCTTTCAATTGCAACAGAGGACCAACCAGACACCGTTCATGGCTCATGAACACCCCTCAAGGAAAGAATCCACTATCCCAGAGACTGGGTACAATGGAGATTGCTTGACCACTGGGGACTGCCTAATCCCCCGGTCAGAGCAAAGATCTTTCCAGCAAGCTGGAAGAAAATATAAAAGAGGGGAAGGGACATAAACCTCGGGCTTCTCTTCCCCACAACTTCAACACCTGGAGGAACATCTGGAGGACAAAGACTTTGACCTGGGGAAGGGTGGTCCCAGGCTGGAATGGAGTCCAATCTGTGTACGGAGGGCGCTGACCCTGTTCCTAGCGAACAGACAGACGGAAGGTGGGGGAGAGACAGGATGGAAACGGGGGTGAAATACGGCCTCTGTGGATGGTGTCGGGGGCTGGACCAGCGGTTGCGTTGGCTGCAAGGCGACCCCGAAGCCTGCTGCTCGGACCCTGGGTGGTTACAATCTGGCCAGGGCCGGCCCCGCATTGGGTCCCTTCTCCTTAGGTAGGGTAGGTGGGGTGGGTGCCACACACCTGACTGCAGCATCCGATGGAAAGCCAGGAGAGTGAGCTAGGAGAGGAAGAAAGACACAGCGGGGTGGAAAACATCCCAACCAGGGAAGGGAAAAGGATCTCCAGGGCATTTGAGGTGCTGCTAATCAGCTGTCCCCGTGGGTGGGCTGGGGGCTGCAGGCCACAGCAATGGGACGACTTCCAGCTCGCAGAGGGGAAAACAAAGGTCCTTAAACAAGAGCCAGGCTGGCTGGCTCCGGCCTCTCAGGAAGAAAGTCCTTTAGAGGAGTCGACGGGCTGCAGCCCTGGAGACTGGGGCTGCACTAGGGGAAAATGAAGATGAGCCGGGTCAGACGCAAGGTGGGACAGGGGATGAGAGACAGGGTTGAGCCCATCGTGGGGTTTCTAACAAAGTCCCTTTCTGAGGACCCCAATGAGGGGGGAGTGGGCGGCCTAGTCCCTCCCCCTCATTATTTTGTCCCCCAATTAGGCCCAAAGTCCCTCCCACCCATTTGGGGCTATTAACTTCTGGTTCCAGCTTCTGTTTTCCCCCAGCGCGATGTCGACAGTCGTGGGGCTGTAGCCAGGGGGCTTTTCGGGTCAGACCAACCCAGCGTCTGTGGCTGGTTCTCTCGCCCGGGTTACAATGTTCAGCGTCGTCCCCAATTTCCCCTGGTTCCCCGGGGCCTTGGCACAGCTGGGGAACTTGCCCATGGGTTTTACAGGGGAGCTCGCAGCCGGGCCGCTTCGCAGGCTCCACAGCCACAACCG